CTACGCGCGAAACTGATAGATTCTGTGGTTGAATCTCTCAGGGCGGGATCGTGGGTGTGCACTGCTAAGGAGTCTCTTAATGGGACGAAACGGTCGTCTAGTGCTTCTATGGTGGTCTAGATTCAATTGCCTCATGATCTCAACTATTGAAATTACTATAATATCCACAAAAACCCGATCTGATTTTAATAAAGTAGTTTTTTTATATTTCAATAAATGTTTAGGAAATAAATTAAATTTTTAATATATTAATATTAGTGATAGTTATATTAATAGGTAATTTTGTGATCAACTTGGTTTTACAGAAGATGATATATAAAGAGAAACTGCTGGTTTATATTTAATTTTTCATCATAGATAATCTATTCACATATAACTTATCATTCATTGGAATACACAAGAAATAAATGCTTAGAAATAGTAGTCAATTAAATTCTTTTGATTGAGATTTTGAATCTGTCAGTGTTAGAACACCATTGAAAACCTGAAAGTATTAGATGGTTATTTTGTACTAGTATGGGACTCCTGATCAGTGAGCATCCAAACAACGACGAAGTAGCCGTCCATGACTTCCAGGTTTTTAATAGTGGTTTGATATTAATCAATCAAAATTCAACAATCTCCACAACCATTTACTGATGGAAATTTCTTATTTAGATAATTTGTTTTTTAATTTGAATAGTGCTTTGAAATGCATGTGGATTTTTTAAATTTAAATTTGCTGCTTTGATAACACGGCCTCCATAAACAGTAATTAATTCATGTATCGAAATATATATCAATAAAATTTCCAAGTTATTTTCAGTTTCAGGTTCTTGCCTAGTTAGATCAATTTACAATTTCGGTAGAATCTATGAACATTATCAGATTGATTTTACTGTTGTCATTATCTTGGAATCATTCTTTTATTTGCTAAAACTATTTTATTGAAGCTTAATGAAAGATCTTAAAGACTTTACAAGATGTTTTATCATTTATATTCCTGGAGAGTGAAATTTTTTGTAACCTTTCTATGTATATAAAATATAAGTTTCTAGATTTCCTTCATTTTATTTCAGATAGTATGTTCACTTTTTAGTGATCGAATGGATAAAAAAACATAATTACTGGCTCTCAAACAACTACTATGTAATTATGGTGTAACTCAGTATCCGTGTACATATTCATTTACTCATTTAAACTACATTCATTTTTAGTGTAATTACTACGGATAATTTCCTGTTATCAAAACTGGAGTAGATAGGGTAAATCCCGATTTTTTAAACCGTAAACTTCAGATTCGGAACCTACCAAGTAAACTTGGGGTTAAATAGTTGGTTTGTATCACTACTTCTCATACAAATAGAGTAGCTAGCAATTAAGTACACAGAAACTCGTGCCTGGTAAATCATCTGATTTTGACTGTTATTCTGTAATTAACCAAATAATAAAGTCAATCAAATAAACAGTTTAGATATTTATTTTGTCTTATGGACTATAACTATTCAAGAATTTGTTTGGTAAATTGTATTTACCTACTACAATACCTACTAAATATAAATAAGTAACTATGATCTGCCTGTTGGTCAATTGTAACCAAATTTATTGACCTGTTACGTCATCACCTGATTAAATCTAAATTGTGATAAATTATTTTTCTCAAATATAAACTAATTGATTGATAGAACTTTGAATATTTAATTTAAATTAATGCGACCTTTCAATACTATTTAACAGATTATTTCATTCACTCATATGTAAACAGTGTTTCTTAAGTCTTTCTTAAAATAATTCATCATTATCTTCATCATCACAGTCGGAACTTCTTTTATTGTTATATATTATTGATTAATTTGTTTATCTATCTATCTGTCTACCGACATATACATATATGCATCAGACCAAGGGTAAACAATAAGAAAACTTTTGTTCCATGGGAGATAACAACAGATGTTAAATATTAACTAATGTTCAATATATTCTTTTGCCACTTTTCATTTTTTATGAAGTGTTCCTTTTATTATTACTATGAGTTAATGTATGAATATATGGTAAAGTTTATGCTTGTGTGAATGTATGTTACTAGTTTATTTTTTCAAAAAATGTAATTTGCTTTTTATGAGTTATATTGTCATTGTTAGTAAATAAAAATTATATATAAAGAAATGAAAGAGAAAGGCGAATAGAACAAAGGTAAGGTTACAAGAATTTTTATCTGAATAACAAAGTTTAATAGTTTAATTTTTGAGTTTATTGAAGCTAGAACACTATGGAAAACCTATAAGTACTAGACGGCTGTTTCGTCATAGTATGGGATTCCTCAGCAGTGCGCATCTACAATCCCGACTCGCGAGACCTGAACCCAGGACCGTCCAGCTTAAAAAAATCTTATTCCATTACTGGGGAAATTAGTATTTTATAAAGAATTCTTAACAAATATTAAAGGAACTTATTAAACATGATAATGTAGTCTATTAAAAAAATTATTGGTTATTGGTTTCATGTCCATTTGTCATATTCAACAAAATATTATTTACTTTAAAACTAAGTTGACTGATAAACAACTCTTGGAGATAAATTTTCAATATTAGTTAAAGTTATTTGTATACTGGGTTATGTCCTATTAAAGTACGGTCGTATGGACGGTTCATGTTGTATGATTCTAATCAATGGAAAGTAAATAGTAAACATTGTTAAATGTGCATAAATCAGCCTAACAAAGTATAAGAATATGAAATACCATTTGAAATTAAGCATTGGTTAATTATTAGAAATTAACATCATATTATGAAAAATTTTAAAGACATATCGGTGCAAGTAATAATCTGTGTTTAAAGTGATTTTTCATGCATAAATTGTGAAAATATTTGCTTATATTTGGACTGTTCATGTTCTACAAGATGATAATATGATGTAAACATGCATCAGCCTATTGCTAAGAAGTACCATACTAGACCGAAACGGACATTCGATGCTTCCAGACTTTCAATAATGGTCTAATATCGATCAATTCATAATCTCAATCAAAAAATTATTTTAAATATAATTGTATAGGTTTAGTAAATGATAGGATAGGAAAGAAAGTTTACTTCGCTGAATTGCACATTTTTCAAGATTTTAATATATTTAATACATGTAACGATAGTAGTTTTGTTTAGAAAGAGTGGTTTATGTGTATTTGAACTTTAGAAGATGCATTTAATTGATTTTAGAGTAGGTTTATTAGAAATCAACTGAACCAAGATGATTTATTCGTGTTTATTAAGGCAAAACTAAAATATACTTGTTAAAAATCTTGTACTAATTGAGAAATTTTCAAAGAATAACAAATCTTAGGTGATTGGAGTCAATTAGAATAAAGTTCAAAAGACATTATTCCCCACAAGCTTAGAGATATATCTTGATAAAAACTGCTGCTTAGTATATAACGTGGATAAAGGATTTTCTACTGATTATCTCCCACCATATGACATCAAAAATTATAATGTATGTGATGTCAAATCAATTGAACTAGTGACTATCTTGAACATTGATCAATGGAATTTTTTAGCATTAAGGATTGAACAAAAATGATTTTAGTTACTATTCAGTAATTATTCAGTATGATTAGAAAATGTATCTTATTAGATCTTATTAGAGATAATTCATATTAATGTATTACTATTTAATATAATAGTTAATCGTTGTGTTTGTTTTAATTCGCTAATTACTGATCATCATAACCCAAAAAGATATTTCAAATCATACTTTGTTCTATTAATAAATTTGGGTTGGTGTATCATAAATTATTTACTATTAAGTTGTGATATTTTTATTGATTAATATATCCCCCTACAAGATGTATAATAGAATAAAATTTGACAATATTTAATATGGAGCCCAAAGATTATTTGCTAAATTGTAATAAGGAGAAGATCATATGTTCCATCAGAATATTTCACAAGTATAAACAATAGTTTGTAAATTTATGAGAAAATTTCTGTGACAAAGTTAAATCTTAGATTGTTTTCAATTAATTGTATTTTTTTTATTAATAATGAATTGTTTTATTGAATTGGGATTTGTACAAAACATGATGTTATAGGTGATAGATTAGAACATAAGGATGTAATTCTGTGAACTTTGTAGCTTAATGACCATCATAAAGTTGACTGGTTTATTTATTATTGGTCAGTATAAAAATTTACTATTCACGTTTTTTTAGTTGTTAATACAGGCTCGGGTGCCCCCTTCACTTACTCCCAAATGCCCTGGTACGGTCGACAATGGGGAGAGACATATTTTCCTCTCCAAATGCTCTCACATGGCCACGTGTATACAGGCACTGTCAGAGAAGTTCTACTCATTGTCTTCTCGTGGTAAGGGTGTTGTTTACGAAATTGAGAAAACGAAAATCGAATGTCTGGCCAAAACAGATGGTTTTCTTGGGGGGTCACAACCGGAGCCTTCGACCTAAAGGTCTGGTCCACAAGACAGTGGGGAGATGCAGTCCCATGGTAGCCGGTTGAAAATAATTTGTTCGTACGCCCTTGTTCCTTTAGAATACTGGAGTCCATGTGCACCAATGATTTGGAATCAGAGTTTTCCAACTCTCAGGTGGGTCCTCTATATCCACCAACCCGATTAAAGAGTCGGACGTTCGATCTTTGTCCTCTCAATTTCGTAAACAACACCCTCACCACGAGAAGACAATGTGTATGACTTCCCTGGCAGTGCCTGTATACACGTGGCCATGTGAGAGCGTTTCGAGAGGGAGAGCGGACTCTTCCAACTCTCGGCCGTACCAGAGCATTTGGGGGCAAATCCTCCAATACCATTGGTGATTTACTATCTCAGTGTAAACTTAATTAACTCTAAAAATCATGACTTTTCATTAGAACATTGAGAAATTCTTTGAAAAAGATGCTTACTACTGAGAACATGATGGTTTTGGTGACCTTTTTTATATACATTCAAAATACAATTTTATGAAACATTTAATTTGAAAAAAAAAACCTTCATAGTTTTAGTAAATAACTCACTTGCATTGTTTTATCATACCAACGATTAGCCGCATTAAATGAACTACCCATTCCGTGTAATAATTGTAAAGCTAATGAAACATCATCACGTTTATTTAAATTATTTGAATCATTTGTTTCATTTAAAAATCCATTAATATCTGTTGTTTCATCTAGTTCTTCAACTGCTTGAATTGGTTTGTCTAAACATAATACGAACATGCTTTTCGCAATGGTTTTTAAATTTCCTTCATTTTCTGGATCTAGTTAGAAGAAAAGTGGATAAGAAGAAGAAACGGGTGAATAAAGAAGTGTAGAGTAATAAGAAGAACATGACATTAATCACTACTCAGTGATCGATCATTTATAAATATTTCAGTGCTATAGGAGGTCAGCCACTACCCGAATGGCTCAATGCCGACGTACCAGACTGTATACCTGAGTGACATGATCTCGAACTCATTATGGAAAATTAGGTTCCTTAAGATTACAAGTACACTTTGCCAACTAGTGCCAACTAACACAAAGACTAGGTTCAGGGTTTCCAGTTGACTAACTCTAATCACCAAATATTCAAAGGTAGTGCATGCGATGATGAGTCATTCAGATTAGTGATCACACTGTAGTTTATCGATAGAATTCAACTATAACTCAAATATTTGTTTTTAGTCCTTTATTGAGAATATATACATAAGTAGTGTTCTATTCCAGATAGTTGGTGTTTTTCAGTAAAAATTCTGACACTATAGGTTTTTGCTGGCTGGCACTTGTTAGCGTTGATGAGGAATTAGATGCTACTCAGAGATCCAAATAAAAGAAATATAACGCTTTATTCAAAAATATTCTCTCTAAACTGTTTAATATAGTTCAACCAATATTAAGAAAGTGGACCATATAACATTGAATAATACACAGGAATTGACTGATGCTCATCGCATATGGATATGATATGTCGGCTACTATACAAGGTTCTATTTTAAACTCATCATATTCAAGAAAAAGTTTTATCGCGAAGTTAGTTTATCTACGTCAATTAGTTATCCAATAGATTCAGGTGATACTTTTTTCCCCATGAAGATTGAGAGAATATTCTATTTCTCTTTTAAATTAACAATAACTATATTTAGTTATATAACTACGCAGTTTATGATGAACTTTGTAATTTGATGTTAACTATTGTAAAGGAATAACGTCGACTGGAATACAACCAAAAATAAGTAGACATAATTTTACTTGTGTTAGGGATTTATCTGTATATATTATATTAGTAGAACTCCATGAAAGTATTACACACTATCTAACAGCATGATAAGCAATCTAATTGACTCTAAGTGAAATATATCTTAAAACATCATATTTACCAATCTTAAAGAATTATGTACGGAATATGTCAACTGAATTTAAGAAAACAATCTTTGTATTTATTGTAAGCAAAGATGGATAGTGGCTAGCAGTGGAATCCAGGACGCGCGTTTCGTCCTGTTTGGGACTCGTCAGCTGGATGTACCTGCATCTCAGAGTTGATGTTCACTCTGGGACTCGAACTCAGTACCGTTCGCTTCAGACGCCATCGCGTTATCCACTTAGCTACTGAGTCAAATAAAAAACAATATCAAGTGAATTAAACTTCACCCCATTGCACAAGCAAGTGGCTATCAGGACTCAGTAGCTAAGTGGATAACGCGATGGCGTCTGAAGCGAACGGTACTGAGTTCGAGTCCCAGAGTGAACATCAACTCTGAGATGCAGGTACATCCAGCTGACGAGTCCCAAACAGGACGAAACGCGCGTCCTGGATTCCACTGCTAGCCACTATCCATCTTTGCTTACAATGCTTGTAAATTAAGGCAATATCGAGGCATACGCACAGTATGCACATATGCCAACAAGAGACTGATCAATTTCAGTCCAAAAACATCAATGGGAAGATTCAAATAAAAAACAATATCAAGTGAATTATTTGTATTTATTATTTAAACTACTAAATATAAAATAATGTATCCCTTTGTCAGTAATATAACTGGGTATGTTTGAATATTTAAACTGATACAACAATTTAAACTGACTGAGATTTATTGCTAGAAGAAATTGTTTTCTTTGTTTACAGGTATTTATTTTTTTAATAGAAGATATATATATTAGCATAATGCCTTACCTTGACACAATTGTTCATAAACTTCTGCCCATTTATTTCTTGGTAGAGCTGTTAACGCACCAACTCTTGGTTGTACTTCCATTTCACTTTCACCGGCTATTGACTCTTCAGCGAACTGTGTAACACGACGTAACTGATTATATATATCTTCTTCACTTAATCTACTCCCATTAGTTATGACATCAATAACGAAGAACTATGAAGAAAAAAAATTGAAAATTCTAGAGAAACTCCACTAAAAATGTCTAAATTTTATTAAGTTTGAATTAATACAGATCATTCTTAGTTCGAAAGATTTAAGACAATTATCGTAAGTATTTTTGTATTTTGACTGTAAGTTATATCTTGAACTGAGATCACCTGGAGGTTTAATGAATATTAGAAAGCGTTGGATACTTGTCTTATCTTAGTTTACAGCACTTCATCAATCCTCAGTCATAACCCAATATCGGATCGGGCTCAGAATTTTATGTCTCTACTATTTTCTTAAAAGGAAGTGCTGAAGGTTCGGCATTTAACATATAATTTCACAGTGGCGTTAAGTAAGTAATAGCAATCAAGATATATTGTAGAAGTATTTTATCGTTATTAAAGCAGCCTTATGTCGACAATAAATTTTATGCTTAAATCTATAACATTTAAGTCATATATATACATAATTATCACACAGTGTTAGTGGTAAGTAACTACTTCACTTGCAATATGGCTGAACACTAGTTACATCTTTTAATTAGAATTACGGGGCTTACCACTTTTTGTTTGAACACATAAATACCGGTGCAAGGGGGAACCAGATACAAATGCGCTACACAGATCTCATTTGATTTGTGTGAGGGTTATGATGTTGCCCGGGTGCCCAAACCGAAACAGGTGGTTTTCTTAGGGAGCCACACCCGAAGCCTTCGACCTAAAGGTCTGATCCACAAGGCAGTGGAGCGTCGTAAGGAGGTGCAGTTCTATGGTAGCCAGTGACCGATAATTGGTTCATATGCCATTTGTTCCTTTAGGATACTGGAGTCTATGTGTACCACTGGTTTGGAATCAATGTTTCCAACCTTCATAGGTGGACTCTCCGTGTCCACCAATACGGTCGAAGCGCCGGACATTCGCTTTTCGTCCTCTCAATTTTGTAAACAACACCCTTATCACGAGAAAGCAATGAGTAGAAATTCCCTGGCAGTGCCTGTATACGCGTAGCCATGTGAGAGCACTTCGAGAGGGATAGTGGACTCTCTCCACTCTCGGCCGTACCAAGGCTTAACTCTTATAAGCATATGTTGTTTATTATTTTAATATGTTGTCATTATTGTTGAATTTGAACTTTGACATTTTGGAACAATTGTAGTTAGACTACTACTTTTCTATCAATGTTCACAAAAACATCAGACAGCTATACAAAAGATTGTCTGGAATGAAATAGCTCAATATGAAACCTAAATTTGTTGGGAATGATTCCTGACGAAGTCATAAATGCATACTGGTAAGAAGTCGATATGTGGATAAAACAATTGTCTAGTATGTAATTGTTAGTTCCCGATAGTTAACGAGTTAAACTCAGGTCATAATAAACAGTCTGTATAAACCTTTTTTCTGAAACTAATAATCATATATATTTATCATCTTATGCTAACTAATTGAACTTTGAGTATTTTCTTTTGGGGTAACAAAATAAATGGTAATTTTTTTTGTATTTACTAATTATTCTCTAAGAATATGTATCCTTTCTATATAGTTTTTATATGATTCTACCGAAAAAATATTTCATCAATAAGATTATTATGTCATTATTGTTATTATTATTATTATTATTATTATTATTATTTCAGTAATTTGCCTATTGAGTATTATGAAATCCACTGGTAGATAATGACCCATTATTACTCCCATGAGAGAAAAAAAGGAAAGATGATTCAACAAATAAATATAAAGAAATAACAATAATAATGCAATAATTTTATCAGAATAATCAATAATCATCATTATGTTACTTATTTTGTGTATATTTACCAAAAATGATAAAGTTTAAGTCAAACCTATCTGTGTAACTCAATACAGAAGATTATTCATAAGTATGGGATTAAGCCAAAATATGAGAATAAACAGAATAGAAAAAAAAATTAGAACACTGATATTATGAAAACAAAAATTAATGATCGTCTAATCAATCATTTAGTAAAAATACGAATAGAATATATAATTGTTTATTTTGATTATTCTAATCACCAAGACAAATCCAAATGAAGATAACTAGTGTATCAGTAGCCTCTGTATCAGTAGACCTCGACATACACAAAGGAAAAAGCAAGATCGTCGAATACAACACAGAGAATAATAACAAAATCACACTTGATATCGAAACTATGGAAATGTGGAACCCTTCACATACCTGTGAAGTATCCTCGATGAACAAGGAGAATCAGATGCAAACGTAAAGACGAGGATTGGACAAACAAGGGCCACATTCCTACAATTGAAGAACATATGGAACTCAAAACAACTGTCTGTCAACTAATATCAAAGTCAGAATCTTAAATACGAACGTTTAGACAGTTCTACTATACGAAGATGAAACTTGAAGAACTACTAAGACTCTCATCAAAGATGTACAAGTATTTATAAATAGTTGTCTACGCAAGATACTCAATGTCCGTTGAACGGATACCATCAGCAACAGCCCATTGTGGGAGAGAACAAACCATCTTCCAGTTGATGAGGAAATTAGGAAGAGACGATGCAAATGGATAGGACATACATTACGCAAATCACCAAAACGCATCACGAAGCAAGCGCCAAATTGGAATCCTGAAGGGAAGCGGAAAAGAGGAAGGCCAAAGAACACATAACGTCGGGAAACAGAAGCAGATACGAAAAGGATGAATAACAACTAGAAAGAACTGGAAAGGATTGCCCGGGACAGTGTTGGATGAAGAACGCTGGTGAGCGGCCTATGCTCCTTCACGAGGGGTAACAGGCGCAAGTACGTAAGTAATCACTAAAAAAATATAACCAACGGCTTTTTTAAAAAATTGTAATTTATTATTTTAAAACTAGACATCATTCCTTGATATCAAAAAGAATATATTTTTTAAAAAAATTACCTGATCTAAATAAATAACAATAATATGTTCAGGATCGAATGGATCTCGTTCAGATGTTGTTACAAGTATATCTTTAGTTTTACCTGGATAACGATATGAACTAAATAATCGATAATATTGTTCCATACAAAGTGGTTGACCTTTTTTACTATGCCGTGCTCGATCGATTGGAAGTGAACGTCTAAAATTGAATAAAATGAGTTTATAACTTCTTAAATTAAAATATTTACACATAAAATATATCATACTGAGTTAAGAAACAGAATATTACATAATTAATTCATTTATATTTTGATGGTATTATTAAGTAGATGAGGGATTGAACTGAAATGATTCTAGGTGTCACTGTTCTTGTTTAAATGTGGAATGACTTAAAATATGTTTATCTGTCAGTTTGGAATTGTGGAGAACGTTGAATTTTACTGAGATCATGAACCTACCAATCGTCGTCATTGATGGCGAATCCAGTACTTTGATGTTTTCAATGGTCGTCCAACATTGATCGGTTCTTTATTTCAATGTGTACTTTTCTTTTTTTTCTCTCAGAAAATTATAATTTGAACTGTGATAACTGATGACAGAAATTTCATTGATACACTAACTGCTACCCGTATTAAAAACTTAAGGAAGTTGATCGTTTTAAGTTTCAATTAAACATAACCCTGTCATTATATTTAAATTGAGTTTTTTATTGTGATGTACGATGATTTTCATTTTTAGTCAACGTGAAACAGTATGCTCGTTTCATGCGTAACGAAGGATCGATTTTGCATTAGTTCTGACAATAACTACACGGTTTTGTTAAGAGATTCAAAAAAGAACCAGCCGATTACCATTTATTGAACCATGAGAAGAATCGAGCCCACACATGATCGTTTAGAAGAATACTGAAAATGTCATTCCTGGTATCAGATGAAAGCTGAAAAGCAACGTATGTTATATTATTGAATTTATTTTGTTGGGCAAACCAGATCAAATTACCAATGTTCGTTACGATCATTGGTTATATTTGATAAAACAGTGATAGAAGTTTGGCAGTAAAAGTTCTTGAATGGTTTATAGAATAAACTTGTTAATATTTATTGTTATCGAATCAGTTTAACATAGGTGTATATACTAAAGTGTTAGGTGACATCTCTTTGAATCTATTATGACAGACTCTTTGAATCCAATTTACCACTGAGTAAGAAAGTTAAAACGCTATTCGAATGATTAAAGTTTATTTTTAACAGTTATTTTGCGAAAAACGATTGGATACCTATCGAAAGGAAATTTATGCCGTGTGTAATTAAAGTTAATACAGCAGTAATGTGGTATCACTCATTACCCACTCATTGTATTTTCTGTCTATTTATAATAAGTTGTACAAATCGTTTGAAAATAAAATGAAAACGGAGTAATTTTCAAGAAAGTTTATGATTAAAAAACAAACCAAAGAAAAAGAAACCTGTAACCGTTTAAATTTAGGACGATAAGAAGCTATTTGTATTTTATATTATTGTCCATAAAGTTGGTAACACTGTCTAATGTAAACGTGGAAGCACTACACGGCCACTTCGTTTTAGTATGGAACTCCTCAACAGTGCGCATCCACGATCCCGCATGCGAAATTCGACCCCAAGACCTTCGGTCTCGCGCGCGAGTGCTTAACCTCTAGACCACTGAGCCGGCATCTCTACAGTCTTCCATCCTGATAATAATTATGTGATCATTATAGACTAGCTTCAAGATAGATTTCTTGGGGTTCCATTTAGGAGTCATGGCCAGTGGAGTCCGATCCGTGTCATGTATTGACAGTTGTCCCCCACAGACAATGAATGAATGGTTGCTTAAGGCCACGGATTGATTAAAGTTAGACATTAACAGCGTTGGATGTTAGCTCAGTAATCTGGAGGTTGAGCGTTCGCTTACGGTACTGGAGGTCATTTGTTCGAGTCCCGGGTGCGGGATCATGGATGGGCACTCCTAAAAATTCCCATACTGAAACGAAACGGCAGTCCAGCGCTTCCAGGTCTAGCTTAAATCGACTCATGATACCAAGTATTAAAATTACTACAATCTCTACAAACTCCCATTCTGATGATTGTCAATCAATTTCAGCATATAGTATAATCGGGAACCATTATTTTAAAGAATAACCTGATTACCATGATAGTTAAAATTATCTGAATTCTACTTTGTAATACTTTATGAATTTCTTAGAATAAATAAGAAACATTAACCATAGAATATAGTGAGTAAACGTTTAGTTTTTGATAACTTAGTATAAATTACACCATATAAAATCATAATAACAAAATTTTCTTTTCTTTGCTATTATTCTTCATATTATATTTGCGTGTATTCCAACTGACTAATTAAATTTTATGAAGTAAATAAATGCAAAGAAACATTGTTTACTTTGAAGGAAAATCGTAAGAAAAATAAAGGAGAAGAAGGAAAGAAGTACAAACAATCATTATCGTCAGTGAATTTACCATTATTATTTTTCTTTCTTTTTTTAACGGAAGTAAATCTTATCAGAAAACCAAGAAAAAAAGAACATTGTTCAAATCTTTTTAAACAAAGATCGCTAGTTGCTAGCAGTGAAATCTAGTTTGACGCGCGTTTCGTCCTATTTGGGACTCGTCAGCCGGATGTACCTGCATCCCAGAGTTGATGTTCATCTGCTTGTGCAATGGTGTGAAGTTTGAATTCGCTTGGTATTGTTTTACTTGAATCTTTTTCATTGGTGTTTAGGACTGCGGTTGATCAGTCTCTAATTGGCATATGTGCATACTGTTCGCATTGCCTCGACATTGCCTTAATTTACAAACATTATAAGCAAAGATGTATAGTTGATAGCAGTGGAATTCAGTCTAATGTGCGTTTCGTCATATTTGGGACTCATCAGCTGGATGTACCTCGATTCCAGAGTTGATTTTCACTATCCATCTTTACTTAAGAAGCTTGTGACTTAAGGCAAAGAATACACATATGCCAACATGAGATTGATCAATTACAGTTCTAAATAACAATTGGAAGATACAAGTAAAACAACACCAAGTGAATTGTTCAAATCTGTTTTTTTTTTCGTGGTAAAATTTTATTCTATTTTTTATTAAAATGAGAAAAGAAAACAGGTGATAAAAAGAAACTTAAATGTAATTTGATATTCATTGAAGGTTGAATTGATGTATGTATACATAATCTTTTCTATACCTTACTTTTTATCAGATATTTAATATTAAAGAAAAGAAAAGAATTTATACGGTTGATATATCTATTTAATGTAGAAAATAGATGATTATATATATGTCTAAATGTTAAAGAATATTTTCAGGCAAACGATGGGAAAAAAATTTTTTATGAACTTTTTGAAGTGGAAAACAGGTCAATAGTATGTAGAGTTTTTTCCCTCTTCTTTTGTTATCAATTTTCTTTAGTGAGTTCCCCTCCTTCTTTTTGTGACTCATTCATGCATTCACCATAATACTCAGCTGTTTGATTACATGATAAACACAATTAACAATTATATATATACATACACACACCCATACCAACAAACAAATGCATACATATACGCTACAACTCTACTTTTTCTATATCACTGCTTACATTCTCTGTAAGTATGAGACATTAAATTGACGTGCAAACAAAGTAAGTATTAGTTAAATGCATGCACAGCTCTTTCTATGATAATAATAATAATAATTATTATTATTATCATTATTCATTCAGTCTTCCATTCCGATTCCACGTGTTGTTGTTTGTTAGTTTTTTTTTCCGCAGCGAAATATTGTCACGAAGTTTAATTTATTGAAAAGTTTAGTTAACACTTCAAAAATCTCATTAATTACAGAAAGAAGAGTAGTAAGAGAAACGAAGATAGTTACAGAAGTGAAAAACGTTACTGAATTATATTTACCGATGAAGAAAAAAGACGGATACATTTCTGGGAAAATCCATTGTCAAAAAACCAAACTAATTGGTTTCTTTATCTTTTTTATCTATAAAGTAATAATATGTGAGTTCATTTCATATTTTTGTGGTATTATCAACTTCATTCAATAACCAAGATGACAGTGACTAGTAAAGTTGAATAGTGGCTAGCATTGGGATACAGAATACATTAAACAAGCTGGCAGTCATTTGGAATCGGTTGAAGGTACTGATCTAAAGTTCTGATGTGAGCATCAACACTGAAATGCAAGTACATTCACCTAACAAGTTTTAAATGGAAGAAAACCTGAGTTCTGGGTTCTACTAGTAGTCACTATCCAAATCCATTAAAAACTAAATCATAATGTTCATAAAATCCTTTCATAAAACAGAAATACGAAAAGGAAGTAGTCAATCGAAGTCTTTTATATCAGCAACGAAGGAACACAATCTTTATAAAATAAAACAAAAGAGAATAAATATGAAACTATAAACCTTTTACTCAATAAGAAAAATAAAATTCGCTTTATTTTTACATAAATACCATCAGTAAAGTGAAATTTTCGATTCAATGTTCATTTTTATTTACTAAGTCGGATATTAAAACAAACATGGATCTGTTATTTTTAAAGCGAATTCATTTTACAATATAATTTGAGTTTTGCTATTCACTATATTTAACAGATATAAATATTAAGATAACATTTAATCAGTCTCTTAACCATTATAATGACTACAATGATGGCTATCAAAACTCAGTAGGTAAGTGAATAACGCGATGGTGTTTAAAGCAAACGGTTCTGGGTTTGAGTCCCACAGTGAACATGAACTCTGAGACGCAGGTACATCTAGCTGACGAGTCCCAAATAGGACGAAACGCGCGTCAAACTGGATTCCACTGCTAGTAACTATCCGTATTTTTTGCTTATAATATCAATGTTTGTTTATAAGTTTTTATTAAAATGTCAAGTTTTATTATTCTAATAACCAGGTACATATTAACAATTCCATTTTAGGTTTGTATATATCACTGATAAACTTGTAGTGTGTACACTGCTTCAAAGTTAATAATTTGAAATTTAACAATCCCCCTTTCAATATTACTAAGGAGTTTTAAATTAGATCATATCTACTATTCATTGATGAAGTTTTTTCAATAACCTTTCAGATAATTTATATTAAACATTTTAATGAAATGTATTTCAGTGCTGTGAAACGGTTTATATTCTTATAAGAAATATGTTTCATTAAATATACAATTTCTAGATCATCCAAACTAACTTTGAGATCAATATAAAATAGTTCGTTCATAGAAACTTACGTATCTAATATTGTTTTATAATCAAGAATTCCAGAAATCAGTTGAGCAGCAAATCTAATATAGATAAAACAAAAAGCATAGATGAAAATAATGTATAGAATTGTTTTATTCATCTACCTAATCAATTTAAAAGACAATGTATTATTCACTAAATATGTTTGAATTATAAGAAATGTTCACGATAGATTTCATTCGATGGATTATGTAAGGGTTTAAAGAATAATAGTTTCAGTTAAATGTAGATCATAATCATATTATTATTATTATTATCAATTATTCCGTAAAGTCCATAAACAACAGCTCTGCCACGAGAAGGCGGTGAGTAGGACTTCCCTGGCAGTGCCTGTATACGCGTGGCCATGTGAAAGCATGTGGAAAAGGAGAGCGGACTCTCCACACTCTCGGCCGTACCAGGGTATTTGAGAATTGATTTTCCGGAAGATTAATATATAAGCTAGTTAAAAGTGGTGAATTAGAGTAAACTAAGAAGATTGCATATGAACAAATAACTATATGCTTTCTTTATTCTAATGTTCTCTTATAAACAATTATGTATTGACCAATAAGATGTATATTAATCAGTATAAAATGTAGTTAGAACCATGTGTCATTTTCTATTCTTAATTGAATTACAACTCAGGTTGGTTCATTTTAGCCATAAAGTAAATGAACAAAATTAGATTGGTGAGAATTACTAAGTACAAATAGTTACCAAGGTATATTCAGTATACTAAATTATTTCATTTCAATGATAAATCATACTATACATTAACCGTCGACATGTTATATTACTCCATGTGATGCTAGCCGCCTATAATACTCATTCCACCATGGAATGAATTTCCTGAAGGTTATTTATTACTTACAGTTCTACATAAAAAACTTGTATGAATTAAAGTAAGACCGGTTTCCTCTTAATGATAGTTGAAACCTAAAGAGTATTTATATTTCTGACAGAATATAATTCAATCGTTTTGAAACTGTTTATTCAATTACTGTTAACCAGGTTTGAATTGGATTCACCATGGAGTTCAATGTACATTTACAAAACATACAGTCCTGCCAATGAATTACTTCTATGATTTTTAAAAAAAAGGAAAACGAATAACTATAAAATACAATTATCTAAATAAAATCCTCAATGTGAATCACTCATCTTTTCTTAATGAAACATAAGAGAAAAATGAATCAATCAATAATTGAGTTAGTGAAGAGCTAGTCTTACTAGTTCATCAAAATACAATGATATGAAACAAACAAAAAAAGAAGCAATTTAATGCTTGGAGCATTCAATAATGAGAAATACAAAGGAAAAACGAAACACACTTATCTGTTCTATGATGAATATATCAATATTAAAAGGTAGTGACTAGTCGAGTGTTATAATGATTAGTTAGATAGATACATAAGATAGGCAGGTAAGAATAGATAGTAGCAGATGGTAAAAATGAAGTAAGGAAAATTGAATCAAATATAGGTGATTGACCAAGATATGAGAAAACATTTCATTGACTGTAAATAAAGATGAACATTTTCAAAGAGATGAAAAATAAAGCATAACAAGACACTTTTATAACGCAATCGACGTTGACTATAATTTTAGTAGAGTTTCTTCAGTTTACAAAAAAAACCTAATTGAGATAACTAAGGTGAATTTACAAATTAGATTACGATATTACTGAAACTACCCCCCTGTTTTTCTTTCATTATTTTTTTAACCCAATCCCACTGGTACATGCATAAAGAAAAACACATATAAATCCCTACTGAACTTCACCCTACATATCTACCTACTTTCCTACCTATCTATCCATCGTCAGTGGTAATTTAGCTAATGAAAAAGCCAAAATTATACTTAAAATAGATGATGAAAGGCTGTTGAAAGAAGTCAGTTCATCTTGAAAATGAATAATTTCATATTACTTGGTACTTACTATCCTTGAGGCAATTATATATATATATATATATATATATATATATATATATATATATATATATATATATATATATATATATATATATATATATATATATATATATTCAACTACATGCAAACCTACACAGTAGGCTTTACTTAGTCTAATTTTATTTACTGGGAGATGATGTAAGTGGTGGTGAAAAGAAAATAGAAAAATAGAAGACGAATAACGTCATAAATAAAAATAGATTTTCTTCTTCAGTGCAAATAAGTATATGAAAGTAAAGGAGAATATTGATATTTTTATATAAAAAAATTTCTAAGGTGTAGAATACTTTTCAGTATCTGTAAATTAAGCATGTTTAAACTCTTAAATTGACAATATTTCTCGTTGTAACCTGATACTAACTACGAAGTCGCTGAAAATCAGAAAGATTTACATGTGAGCCTTTTTTTCATACTTTGGGACTTATTACCAATGTGTATTCACTTAGATACTTGAAATTCACTACGTGGCATCAAGATTAAAAAATGAGGGCAAACGTCTCATTTATGACATCGTAATATCGTTGTTATTGATTTCCTATCCCATCGCTCACTTAACCGAATCAATAGATCACTGTGTTTATTTCCAAGTCTAGCCACTTGTGAAAAAATGATAACCACTAAGTAAGGTAACTTTATGTATGTTTAGTATAAATAGAAAGTATTGTTAATCCTAGTTTCACTCGTGAATGAGTATTTATGAATTTAAAGATATTCATTTCATTCGGTCAGTTATTCGAATGTAACAATATTTTGATATATTATTAAACTGGTCACCCCAAGATCGAGAATTCACATGTCAAAATGATCAATATTTACATACCAGACTAAAGTTTTTGATCATTGTGTAATGAATAATATCATATTAGTCTAGTCTTTAGTAGTAACCGAATTCTATCAACCAATTAGCAATTCGGTCACTAGCCTAAATGACTCAACATCGCGTGCACTATTTTGGTGGTTAGAGGTAGTCGGTATGAAAACCTAGATTTTATGCAGCGATTTTCATTTATTAAAATGAAAGAAAAGAATGTTTGCCGATTGATAATATTTCAATGATACAATATGAACAGCTGATGGCTGTTCACGAAATCGAATTAGTAATACAATCCTCAAATACTTTAAGATCAAAGGCAAGACAACTGAATAGAAGAATACGTTTTCTTCTGTAGCAAAATAACATGCTTATAAACAAAAGAAAAAACACGACTAGGAGTATTTTGGGAAATAAATGACTAAGGAGTATAAGAGCTATAAATCATTCACTTTCTAATGGAATAAATCCTTAACTAGTAAGGTAAATTCTAGCTCGTCTTATCACCTTCTCTCATGACACGATGTGCGACCATCACGTAGCAATATTGATACAGTGGTGAAACTTTTGACTTTATTCCTTCAAACCATATTTCTCTTATATCTACAGAATATAAGATACTCCTCCATCAAGCCTCTGAATTTTAAGGAAGGATCAATTCTTACCTTTACTTTCTACCTACTCTCTAGACTGATCACTTAGCACGTGAATTAACTGGTATTCAGCATTCGGTTCACTTAAAAGTATTTGGATATATTTCATTCGTTATTGAATTGAATGGATGAATGATGATTTCTATTCATCCAGCGTAATGGGCATCTTAATTGATTTTCTTCCCCTATTACCTCTTGAAATTCAACATTGTAACCAGAAGTTTATTATTACTGAAGCTGAACTTAAGAAATATGTTAAACTCAGGAATGAATAAAATTAAACTGTTATAGCTGAATTGAAAATTGTTAATAAACCTTATAACCGATTCATATAACCACTGAAATATGGTACTTGTAATAAGAAACAGTGATTTGTACTAGATAAAAACTAAAGACAGAAACATACATTATTCACTTTCTGAAAATACAGCAATCACTTATTAATCAAATCTACTCATTTATGTACTGATTTAATTGATATTTGATATTTATTCAATATAGTGGTCTAGTTGTTTAAGCGCCTGGCGCGAGACTGATAGGTCCTAGGTTCGAATCCCGCGAGGCAGGGTCGTGGATGCATACTTCTGAGGAGTCCCACAATAGAATGAAACGGCCGTTCAGTGCTTCCAGGCTTTCCATGGTGGTCTAGCTTCAACTGACTCATGATCTCAACTGTTGATATTAAAACTTTAACAAAAATTGTTAAGTAACGTTATTCAATTGTTTTATCGATATTCTCGCAATGTATAACTTTTTAACAATGCAAATGAGTAGTTCTGTTAAATGTTTTTGATTGATATCATTTCGGAAGGTGAAGTTATCAAAATTATTTGGTGTACATTTTAAAATATTTCTAAACAGGAATGAAATTTTTTTCAATGCTGATAAGTTTTACTCTTAAGAACTACAGATTAAATACTATGTACACTATGGTTTTTTTGTTTTTGCTGAGATCTATAGAATATTCCAGTTATGTTACACTTATATGTGTCCTGTTTCATTAAATTAACATAAAGCTCCAAGTGCCCTGGTACGGCCGAGGGTGGGGAGAGTTAGCTCTCCCTCTCGAAATGCTCTCACATGGCCACGCGTATGCAGCCACTGCCAGGGAAGTCACACTCATTGCTTTCTTGTGGCAGGGGTGTTGTTTATGAAATTGAAAGGATGAAAAGAGAATGTCCGACGCTTTAACCGGGTTGGTGCATACGGAGGATCCATTTAGAGAATGTTGGAAAACCCTGATTTCAAAGCAATGGTGCACATGTGCTCCAGTATCCTGGTGGAACAAATGGCGTATGAACCAACTGTTGGTCACCCGCTATCATGGAACTACATCTCCTAACGTTGCCCTACTGCCTTGTGGATCAAACCTTTAGGTCGAAGGCTCCTGGTGTGGCCCCTAAAGAAACCACCTGCTTCGACCTGGGCACCCGAACAGTATACCAGCCTACAAACAAATCAAGTGACTTGTGTGGCGTATATGTATTCGGTGCATTTGTACCAATATTTATGTGTTCAAATAAATTATTAATAAATAAATTAACATAAATGGATCATAGTTAAGCTTTTATATTCACCTAAATATGTTTTGACTCTGATTGACTCCTACATATTTATGAATTCAATGAAGAATGATTTCATAACGTTAAAAATTCTTTTTTTTTCAACTTGACAGAACATCCAGTTCTAATACATTTGTGATAACAGAATCATAAAACAGGTTACATTGGTAATTTGTTTTTGCGATTATTTGTATGGATGTTAACATACGTTAGGAATAAATATATTTGGAAATGAGAAACTGAATCATGAGAGCCTGAGTTCCGTGATTATGTAATTATTTGTCAAACTTTATGTATTTTATGAGTAGTAACGGATATATGTTTATAATAAATGAGAACATCTAAATGTCGGAAGGGAGACATTCGATTCTTTAGTCGAAACACAATTTATATTCATCGTATTATCAATTTGGATGTCATCTATTTTTACCAGATATTGTTATTACTATTAACCAATACAAAATGAAATTGCAGCTGTTATCCTGACGCATCTAACTGTTCATTATTATTGAAAAGTACCTGAGTTATTTGTTTAAACATCAAAATTGAATAATGACTAAAACTTTTACAGTACTGAAGATACTGTTTGACCGTTAAATAGTAATAATTGTCATATTCGTCTAGTTCTTAGTTTTGAATGAATGTCATCTATTGGAGTGCAATTTATCTATTATGTCTATGATTCTTTTAATTTGAATCTTTAAATTCTTTAGATATCAGATTGACAGAATGAATTAAGTTACCCAACTCAAATACCCATATTTTTACGATCAAACCACTTTCAACAAAATCGTCCACTAAATCCACTCTGCCTTCAATCTTATAACATTTTCCGCAATTTTACTTTCTGTATGGATTACAATTCGCCCATTGCTAATTAACACCAAACTACTCAATGTAATTCAATCGTTTCAAGTACAAAAAGATATAGAATATATATTTTTCATAACCTAATATGAAATCAATTGCTTTGAATGTTTTTAGCGTCTTCCATTAGACTAATAAAACATTGAAATGCAACTATTTACGTCTTGAAAATTTAATGGTAAATTTTACTTCCCTACTAATAGAATGGGAGCACAAACATGTGGATCAACGTGTAACCGTATAACACTTACAAACGTTAGTTATTTGAACTGAATCTAACTGAATGAACCAAAGTTAAACTATTTACAAATATCTAGAAAGTTTGAAGTGATTTTCGGATGTGAAAAGTGATTTTTATCAGAAAATATTTTCAGAAGGGAGTTTTTTGGATATTTTAGTAATTTTATAATTGAATTCATGAATCAATTAAAACTAGACTACTATGGAAAATCTGGAAGCACTGGATGGTTGTTTCATCGTGGTATGGGACTCCTCAGCAGTGCGTATCAACGATCCCTCCTTGCGAGATTTGAACCCTATCAGTCTCGCACGTGAAAACTTGCGTTCTAGACCACTAACTTGGTATCCAACCAGTGCTTCCAGGTTTTCCATAATGGTTTAGCTCGACTCATGAATTCAACTATTAAATTATTATAATATCCATAAAACCTCTCTCTAATTATAAGTAAGATAAACTCAAGTTAATCTAGTAATTTAGTATACTAAATTAAACTTCTATTACTAATTTATACTTAACTATTACTTTTACCCAAAAAAATGTTAATTAGCTAGTTAGTTTATTTGACAAAAATAATAAATTATGATATATCTAGTTAATTAATTTTTGTTTTGTAATTGTTCTCGCTAATGTTAAATGTATTTTCGTTTGTTTGTTGTTGTTGTTGTTGTCGTCGTCGTTTTTTACTCCCTGGTTTATTATTCTACTATCTTTTTTTGTCTTTTTCACTCATTCATTCCATTCATGTCTAACATAATGAGATGTATTCAAGGTGAAAGGTCGCGAATACAATTAAATAATCATATAGCCTAAGCAATTAATAAATTTACATGAAGTCTTTATTATTAAGTAATGTGTAAATAAATAAAAAAACAAAGTTGCGATAGAATAATAAAAAACGATAAAAAGAGGAAGAAAAAAAGACAATGGTTAAAACTGGGTGTGTCATATTGTTCTACATTATTCTATTCATAAATAGATGGAATTCATAATTTAGGTGATATGATGAATTAAAAGAACAAAAGTAGATGAATTTAAATAGTGTATGGTAGTGAAGATTAGTTTACTTAAATGATGAAATATGACACAAAAATATTACAACAAATAAAGATGAAAGACAAAGAATCATTTTTTTAAATGTATAAACTATATTGTGTAGATATTGAATAATAAGGATTATGGTGAGATGAGAAGTGTTGATTTTGAGCTTTTTCCCGATATATGAGTGTTATATCGTGACAAGAATTATGAATGGTAACTCTTCAGAACTATCTATGAATCAATACGATACATATATTTTTTTATTGTATAGTTACTAAGTAACTAAATTATACATATTCACATTCTTCTTATTATAAGCTCTATTTTAGCTCATAGACTATTATTATACGATTTACCATTCTTGAGTTATGTCCAGTCTATCAGTTACTATTTTTCATATTCACAGCCACGTTTGGTTAGATCTTGTACAAATTTTATTTTATATTTTATGGTACGATGTGGTCTGTTTGGTTTGTAAATAAATCCAGTATGTTTGAAATACGTGATTTATATCTCAGAGGCTGAGACTGATGTTCTGGACTGAAGGACCGATAAAGACTCTAGACTATTCGTATGCGTTATTAGTCCGGTCGATAAATCACTGTTCTCTAATTGGCGGCATCATTACGTTATATATCAATAGGACACAAAGCCAATAAAGTATAACAATAAATACTATCAGTTTCTAGATGTTACCGTTAAGCAATCATAAAAGTGAGAAATATAAATAAAATTAAACATTCTGGACAGTGGTATTAAAAGTGTCAAGTACGCTGTCAAATGTGTGATACCGTCTATGAGATATAACTTATATTAAAGTTCACATCATAATACGTTTTACCATTAATCAATAAATTTGAGGTCTTAGGTTCAGTAAATCTTCGTAAACTTTATATATATATATATATACAATGAAACCATTAAGTGATAACAATTACATCTTACCTTAACTGTTGTCTTGTACTAATGAAAGAATGACGTGGAAATACCATACCTGGACTAGAATTAATTGGTAATGGTGCCGGATTTAATAAATACATATCATCTAACCACCATTCTGTAACCTGTTATACATAAATATTTAAATATAATGAGTAATTAGTATAAAATAAAACAAATGTAAATTCACTTTAAATCATTTAACAAAATACACTACATTTTCTATGAAAGAACAAGAAGGAGATAACTAATGTTATATTGGATAAGGAAAATAGCTAAATTTTGTTTTATTTCCCATTTTTCTTTCTATTATAAATGAATAAGAAATTAAATGTTTATTATCTATGAGAGAGAGAAAAAAAATCTATATTAGAATGTAGATAATTGCGTATGGGAATAGTTACAGGTGCATTTAACATTGATCACCCACATCCACATCATCATCATCAACAATGATGATGATGAGAGATTTTTCATTCTTCTCAAATAGATAACAAATGAGAAGAATGATAGATACAATAAGTAACTAATAGAAATCAACTAGAGAAAGAAATAGGCAGATAGTTTGATGAAATGAGTTATGTTATTTCTCTTTCTCTTTTTTTCTCTTTTCTTTTTCATGAAAATACAAAAGTTAGAAAATGATGGTTTATCTCAAGAAGGAAAAAGTGTCCATTATGAAAGTATAATATATTTAGAGAATGTGAATAAATAGCGTAGTGTTGATCCATCAGTGCACTACAATGATAAGCATATTAGATGCTTTATGTAGGAGAATAAATTAATGTGTTGTATTACTTCTTTTCTCAGCCATAAATTCTTACATTTAATCTGATGACAAAATTATATATTTTGAATGTGTCATTTTTTTCACATCAATTGTCCAACTTAAATCGGTTCATGATCTCAATAGAAATTCAACGATCCTCACAATCCCCACGCTGATAAGTATCATGTTATCATTAGTGACTAGTTTTAGGAGGAACTTTCTAGAGTTTTGGTAAAAAGCACTGACCACTACAACTAAACTGTGTCGAATATAGATAATGTACTCCACGAAGACAATAGAAGATTACTACTCAATATCGTGGATTTATCATCGTATCTCAGTTGACTAGTTTAGAAGTTGAAGGTTTACGTGCGAGACTCCATGTCTTGAGTTTGAACCTCAGTGGTGCGGTTTTCAATATTCATTGTTGAGGAGTCTCATACTAGGAAAGAACAGATGTTCGAAGTTTCTAGGTTTTCAATGGTTATCTAAATTAGATCACTCCATGATATCGGTAAAAATTCAAATCTACACCACCCCCATACTTATAATCCTATGTAGTTTTACGTATGAAAAAGGTGTAATTGAATAATTAGTACAGAAAGCGTTTAGAAATAATATTGTGTTATAAGAAAGGTAACCAACCTGAACATTTTGTTCATTAGTTTCATCTTCTTACAATGTGATCTAGTCTTAAGTTTTGGTCTAGTTGTAGTCATTAATTTTATGATATATTTATCCGGAACCATGACCAGGTCAAATCGATCTCCCATCACTAAAATCAGTTTAAGGGATGCTGTACTTGGGGTCGATTTTCAGATTTTTTGTATTTATTGTGTGGGTGTATTTAAGATCTCAACGAAGACTTAAAAATTAAAATTTGATTTTATTAATGGGACTATAATACATCTATACAAGAGCCTTTTGATGGATGCTTTTACGAGTAGACTATTATCGCTATTATTATTATTATTATTATTATTACTATTATCATTATTATTATAAGAACTAAGACAAAATTTTCATTTTCGTGGTTTAAAACACTAACCAACTTTAGGTAGTCAACAATTGAAAAACCGGAAGCGTTGGACTTCCGTTTCTTTCTGTTGTGGGACTCTTCAAAAGTGCACACTAATGACATCTCAACCGGAGAACAAGCTCAGGACAATCAGCCTCATGAGTGAGTGCTTGGCCTTTAAATCTTTGAGTCAACATCTTACTCCGTTAGTCTTAATTCAATCAATCCATGATATTGAGTTACCCTCATCCTTCATCTAAGATGGATAGCTGACGCCTACCCGACATGGTTGAACTCTACTGGTTACGCCTCCTCATTTGGAATTCCATTTTGTATCAAACATTTTTATATACAATTTTGGCTTATTGATTAAAGCTCATAACCTTGAGCCATATAATATTTCTAACTCTTTATAGAGGACGTTTTAGTTTTACTGATGATTTTTTTCAGTATGGGGTTGTGCAGATTGTTGAATTTCGTCGAAATTATTAACCGATTAATGTTAGACCACCCTTGGAAACCTGGAAGCATTGAGTGGCCGGTTCGTTCTAGTATGGGAATCCTCAAAAGTGCTCATCCACGATCCCGCATACGAGATTCGAACCCAGGACCTCTGATCTCTCGCGAATGCTTAATCTCAGTATTTTGTTATATGTAGGACTCAGTTGGGATGAAATTTTCTATTTTTAATCTTTAACATGAGTTAACTCAACACTGATATTTTGTCTGTTGTAATACAATAATGATTTTGAATTTACAACTGTAGAGCTTAATGAAGAAGTTATCAAAAACAATTGTTCGCGATCTAATATTGATTGTTTTACAAATAGAAGAGTAATTGTACACTGTCTAGAAATAAAGGAATGTGAAAATAAATAGCCATTTGCTACTAAATATTTATAAATTCTTTTTTAGTACTATCTATTACCTAATAATGTTAAGTTTTAAATTTAAACAGAACAGAATACAAGAGGTATTTTGTTTAACGTACCCAATTGATCTTTGTCTTTGCATATTGTTTAAGTAAATTTTGTAGTTCTTCTCCTTCTCCACCAGATTTGCCGAATTCTTCAACTAATACTTTAGTTCGTTCATAATCTTCTTTTGAAACAACTGGTGCTATTAATCGTAAATATCTATCTAATGTATTATGTAAATCTGGAACCGGTAATCTAGGAAGTGGTTTCTGTATATGTAGTCGGAAGAAATGGAAAAAATATCAAAATATGACTAGAATATTAAAAATAAAGCAACATATCGAAGAATCATTAGCAAACGATTTTAAATTTAAAATGAAACGGAATACAGTGTGGTTAGGTAATCCTATAAGAATTTAATGAAATTGTTATGGTGGATTTAATCGTGAATCGGTATCATCAAAAGTAACTTTAAGAATCAAAGAACCTTCATTAATAATGCACATCGATTTAATCACACAAGGGTTACTGTCGGTATTAAACTGAGATAGAGGAGGGGTTTGGGCATGAGGTTAACAACGTTGCCGAAAAAACGTTAAGTAGACTAAAAAATTAAACCATTTAAACTCTGCCCTCTAAGTTGAAGAAACTGCATACACAGAAATAATGACAAATCATGGTAAAAGCCGAGATTCTTCGGAAGTCACGAGATCGATGCTCTTTCTAACAATCAGAACAGCAGTTGATGTGGGTACATGGAATATCGGGACAATGTGGGACAACGGAAGAATCTATTAAATAGCTGCGGAAATGGGAAGATAACCATCATACAAGTTGAGAGATGGAAAGCATCAGGACCTGACAACATACCGGATAAAGCATTGAAGTCAGACATAGAAGTACCTGCAAATGTGCTCCACTTTCTATTTGGGAAAATTTGGGAGAATAAGTGTCACTGACAGACTGGAAAGAAGGACGCCTTATAAAGATACCAATGAGAGGAGATCTGAACGAGTGAGAGAACTAACTACAGAAATACCACACTACCATCAGTGCCAGGAAATGTATCCAAGAGAGTATTGCTGAACCGTATAGGAGATTCAAAAGACGCCCAACTTCGAGATCAACAGGCTGGATTCCATAAACATCGTTTGTGCACAGACCAAATCGCGACACTATGAGTCATGGTTGGGCAATCAAGTGAATGGAATTTTTCACTATACATTACCTTCCTTGACTGTGAGAAAGTGTTTAGTAGTGTAGATAGGAGATAGCTCAGTGGTAACGTCTCTGACTGTGAAGCTGGGTGACACGAGATCGAATCCGCCAGGGAGCACCAGTTCCCTCAAGATTACAGGTACACCTTGTTGACGAGTGCCAAGTAGCACGAAACCCGGGTCCAGGGTTTCCTGTTGACTACCTCCAACCACCATTTAAATCTCAATATATAGTGCCCGCAGTGTCGAGTCACCTAGACTGGTGGCCACATTGCAACATGATCGATAGCATTCGATCTGCACTAATAAGGACTAGACAAGCATGACATTGATCACCACCCAGTGATCAATCAGTTGAGATAGGAGAACCTTATGGAAACGTCTTCGACACTACGGTGCACGTGAGAAGATTTTCAACATCATTCAGAGTTCACGCGACGGACCACACTGCAAAGTTGAGCAGTCATCGTCAGATACAACATGTAGAACATTAACGCGATTACACTTGATAAAGAAGCACTGGAGAAGGTGGAAACTTTCGTGTACATGGACAGCATTTTTGACAAGTAAGGAGGATCGGATGCGGAAATGAAGGCACGAATCGGCAAATCAAGGACAGCATTCCAACAATTGAAGAATGTATGGAACTAGAAACGACCGTCAACCATTATCAAAGTCAGAATCTTCCTTACTAACGTCAAGACGGTTCTAATGTACGTAGCTGAAACGTGAAGAACTACTATTACTGTAAAGGACATTACTCACATGATTGTTTGTAAGTAGTGTAAAGAGCAAATGTATTTACGAGCATTTGTCTGTGCAAGATACTCAATGTCCATTGTTGACCAGATGACATCAGCAACAACTGCTGTGCGAGAATACAAACTGACTTCCAGTTGAAGAGGCAATTACAAACAGACGATGGAGGTGAATAAGACATAGTGCGGAAATCATCAGAATTCGTCATGAGGCAAGCCCTAACTTGGACTCAACGAGAGAAAAGGAAATGAGGCAGATCGAGGAACACATTGGGTTAGGAATTGAAGGCAGTCATCAAAAGAATTAACAACAATTGGAAACAAGTGGAAGGGATTCCCCAGGACAGAGTTGGTTGGAGCATGCTGGTGAGCATCCTATTCTCCTCTACGAGGGGTGTCAAGCGTAATTCAGTAAGTGTTGATTTTAATGAAGCAGTGAATCAAAACTCTATATTTTTAAATTTCCAAATCGAATTTTAACTCAATTATATGATATTATCATCACCATGAGGTTGTGTGATATTTTGAATGAGCACTAGAAAAAAATATTTTATATCATGGGAAGAAGGAGCCTTCAAACAGTTTCCGCTGCTTTTTCTATGAATGTTTATTTTTTAAAAACGGTCACCTTCAAAACATTTTAAGGATTCTTTGTGAAGTCACATTTTAGGGTAAATCTACTCAATAAGCGTTTAATATAATTTTATTCAAATATAAAGAATCATTTGCTGAACTAAAATTGACGCAAAATCTAAAAAAAACGTTTAAGGGTTGGCTGTATATTAGTTTCTTGAATAATCCATTTGTTTAATAAGGAAAAGTTGAATTTCCGAGAAATTAGTTGTTGTTATGATCAAGTAATCATAACATTTCTGAAATGTAATTAATTGTAACTGATTACAAGATTAGTTTAAATAATAACTAGGGTAACGATTTAATCTTTGAAACTGGTGAAATAATTCGCTTTTTTTCTTGTAAATGGCCTAGATTTCCTGTTTCAGTGGACTTAGTTGTCATCTATATAAGATCAAACTCCTTCTGATAATAATCATCTGCTCACTAGTGACTGGCTTCAAGAGGTATTTCTTGGAGTTCTAGTGAGAAGCCGTGACCAGTGGTTCAACAAGGTCTGTTGTGAAATATCAGCTCACTGTTGTATGCCGGCTCAGTGGTCTAATGGTTAAGCACTCGCGCGCGAGACTAAGAGGTCTTGGGTTCGAATGTCGCGGGCGGTGCGGGATCGTGGATGCACACTGCTGAGGAGTCTCATACTGGGACGAAACGGCCGTCCAGTGCTTCTAGGTTTTCCATGGTGGTCTAACCTCAATTGACTCATGATTTCAACCATTGAAAATACTAAAATCTCCAAAAAATCCCTTCCAAATTATTTTGTTGAAAAGTTTAGCCATAATCAATATATATTTTTAAAACTCAGAAAAGTTATATATGTTTCAATGGTTCTACGTGTGAAAAATAAAATAGATGATTTGTATATATTTAATCTTAATATCCGATAATTACCATGTGCTCACTAGTGACTAGCTTCGTGAAAAAATTCTCGGAGTTCTGGTGAGAAGCCGTGACCAATGGAGCTAGTCCGTGTCGGGTAGAAACAGGTGTCTTCCTTAGTAAAATGGAAGATGGTCGCGCAACTTCGTAGATTGGTTGAGGTTAGACATTAACACCATTGGATGCCTGCTCAATGGTCCAGTAGGTTAAGCATTTGCGCGCGAGACTGAAGGCCCCGGGTTCGAATCCCGCGGGCAGGATAGTGGACGCGCACTGCTGAGGAATCCCACAATAGGACAAAGCGGCCGTTTAGTGCTTCCAGGTTTTCAATGGTGGTCCAACATCAATCGGTTCATGATCTCAATCAAAAAAAGCTTAACAATCTCCATAACCCCTAAACTGACATTTATTTATAGTTTACATCTAGAAAGGTGACGTACTTTTGAAAATATCCACCTTGATGTGATACAATATAATGAGATAATATTTTAATTGGAGGTGGTTGATGTGAAAATATGCTTTAAATTGCTTTCATGATCACTGGTCAATATATATTTGAATAGAGATTTACCCAAAGAGATTTGTACTGAGTGGCTATACATATTTTACTTAGATGGATAAGATCTGGAACTCGAACATTCAAATAAACATTGATATTCCATCTGCTATTTTCATTCAAATTATAGCTTTATTTACATAATCAAATCATACACATATATATTTTAACTATAATCATATTTTGCACCGTTTTGTATTTAAAACAATTAAAATTTAATCTTACGTTACATTTTTTTCTTGAGAAAATTATAGCCTAAAGATAAAAGATGTATTCATTGAAAATAATTCTAAATGAATTATCAAATTGTAACTCTATAAATAACATAATATAAGTATCTCATTGTAATGTTTCACAATAAAAGATGGTCGTGATCTTTTGTTGTTGTTTGTTTGTTTTCAACTAATCTTGATTTAGGCATTTCAGGTTTACATTTTTCTACATTTTATTTTATGGGAATTGTTTCGTTAGCTTAGTTATTTAATGCAATATGTTGAAGTAATCAGTACTTGGAAAGATGTTAGGATGTTAGATTAGCTATTGCTTAGAAAGATTTATCAAGTCATCTTGACTAGTATCGTATATGTGTTATTTGATCTGTATGCATTATGTAGAAAGTATTATTTAGGCAAAAGTCAATTTAGATGTTTATGAATCAAATGGAATAAAACAAGTTACAGCTGATTACAAAATTTTCAACTATATTTATTCATGAAAGAACATCTAGCAGTTTTGAATATTTAACCATGAATATTCGAGAGAATTTATCTATTCTAACAAAACTATTTGAGCCAATTCAAATAAGATGTTTTTTCATACTTGTAGTCAGAATGTAAAGTACTATTCTTGAGATATGAAGAACATCTGTTCTATCTCTCATAAGTAACAACCACATCGATGATGTCAAATAAGATATGATAATGTCTCAGAGTTCCTTAGGTTTTGAAGGTTCATCAGTTGAATGTAGTATATAACGAAAACTATCTTAAAATTGAATTAATCTATACAACCGATTGACTTCATCACAAATACCCTTTCTATTATAAGAACATGGTCACTTTTGTGAAATTCCACAATAAAGATGAATATTGAATATTGATAAATCAGTAGGATTTATAGTGGTAATTTTTGTTAGTTCGCTCTAGTAAACAGAAAAGACTTCTTGGATCTACGTTTTCTGTTAGTTGGCACTCGCCAGTGAAGTAAATTGACTGTACTAATAAGTTTATTGTTCTTGTTAGGATTGAAATCCTTTTCTAGCAATGTCATAATTTTAAACCTTACCACTAAGCTATTTTAGTCACAGTTGATCTTTTCAAGGCAATCCATAGCTAAGTAGTGATCAAACAAATTTCATTATGATACCAAGTTACTTATATTAGTGTCTACACAACACTTTGATTAATAAAACTTGGTTAGTACTTAAAACTACACAAAATGATATCAGCTATTATACAAAGACTAATTACTGTAGTTTTAAATACTCTTAGTCCAATTCAATAATTATTCATAATGAACAGTCGAAAAAATAAGATCAAATCAAATCAAATCAAGTACACTTACATTTCGACAAATTCCTTTCAACTTAGCCTAAAATTATTTTGAATGTAAGAATTTATTATTTGATATACATATTTGTAACATTTTGTATTTTGGTATATCCCTTTGACCGGTCTTAAACTCTCATAAATGTGTCGTGAAACTATAGTTATTTTATGTAAGTTTGAAAATAAACATTTTTTTTATTCTAAGAGATGCTCATGTTAATTACTACCCATTAAACGATATTCATTTAAGAATAGTTTTGGAATAGATTGATATTGAAGACTATATTCAGAAGTGTTTTTTTATAAATGTAAGAATTGAGCTTCCAACTTAACATAATTTTATTAAATATGTTGGAGAGATCCAGAAACTTCCTTGAAAAAAGCTTTAAAAAAGGCTGTGAGAACTTTGAGAAACTCCTTATGCAATTGGCATTCAATAGAAGTTTTGCCAGAAACATCTAGAAAGTGAAAAACCACATATCATATTTCTGATTGGATGATTACTTATACTGCTACTATGTTTCATAGTGTTCCAGAATTTTCCAGAAGTCCAAAACCATCCAAAATGCTGTAAAAGCCCTAGATTTTCTGTATAAAAACGAGCCTCTGGAGTAAAGTGTTTTTTTCCATATTTCGCACCTTTTCTCTGGTGTTCAAGGCATTGTGTAAATTTAGCCTGGGGGCTACTAGAGGAGCTTAAGAACCGAATCCAAAGTTCAATTAAAAGACTAATATCATGGCTTGTAAAATAACCAAATACAATTTTTTGTCATAATTAGTCTAATCACTGTCTTTGCAGTTATTTGAGAATAAAACCTATCAGCATATATTTCACTGTTATACTGTATATCTTTCAAGATTTCAGTCCCTGGTTTAGAATTTTTTAAGTTTACTAAGCTGTAAGAAAAAAACGTTTGATCATATTTTAAGTTTCAACCGGTTATTGACGCATATATTAAAATGTTGTATTTCAATCTGTCAATAATCTTTAATAAACCAGTTTTTAAGGTTGTATTTTTAAAATGCCATTCACTATGAATTCCACTTAACTCATAAAGTAATTTCTGGAATTCATGGAGTAAGTTATTCTTTTGAAAAATAAAAGAATCTTATTATTAGTATCTTTGAACTTGTGGGGCCTCTCATTTTGATGTCAATTCAATCGGGCGATGTTATCAACGGGATCACCACTTTAGTAGCCCTATATCTGACTCCAATTAATAATTGTTGTCAAAATATACATCCTGGCTATCCTCAAATAAAATTATCGACTTAAATCGCATTAGTGAATAACGGAATTAAATAAGTCGAATACGAGAATGAAGTTTGAAAGAGCATATTTCATTCAATCTTTGATCTGAACAAACTATCAGGGAGACGGAGTACAGAGGAGAGAGAAGGTAAATAACGCGCAGTGGAGAAGCCGTGTAAGCCAATTACATTTAATCAAGCGTTAATCGATATTTATAGTCACACAAAAACAAACTACAGACACGTGATGAATAGGATAAGAAGTGTACGCACGTACGCTGATATAAGAACAGTCAAGGTTGATAGGTGAATAATTAACAACGTTAAAACCTGGCTCAAGAAGAATAGATAAATTGGGTTATTCACAAGCTGGAATAAATTATCTGAGCTTAACATAGTAACCTACGCTACAAACTCATTGTTCAAAAGTTATCAATCTTAAGCGTCGAATGTCTACTTCAAAATAATCATGAATTTTAGAACCATCAAATTATGTGACAAACACTTCAAAAGATTCCATTTAATAAGCTCTAAAAAAGACTTGTTCAAAAAGTTGTTTATCTATGTATAGATATTATGTTCATAGGATAAAACTGAGGAAAAAGTAACTTCAATTGAATATTGCTTGAGTTGTAATAATTGTCTTCAAAAATTCATAAATAAATATAGAAATACGCTAGTTTACGTACACAGTTATAATCTAATAGTTCATATCTTTATTCTTCAAATTATTAACAGTACTGTGGATGAAATGTTTTTGGCAATTGTAAGAACTTGATAATTTTTCACTGTTTGATTGTCGATTAAGTGACTGTTTTAAAGATTTTATTGAATCACTTGAAATCGCTATTACTGATCACTAAACTAAAACATTTCAGGCAAAATTCAAGATGTTTTTTTTATTATTAGTCACAACTGGCTGAATAGATGGTGCAAGTCAGTGATTACCTATAAGTCACTTTATGATAAAGTTTAAAATAATAATGCTAGTCGATGGGTCTAATTGTTTCATATATCAATGATTAGTTTAAATATCAAAATTAATGTTGTATTTGTTGATTACTACGAATTTATCCTGAATTCAGTAGCTTCTCATCAATTGTATACAAACTAGTAGTCATTGTTCTAGGTCCCTAGAAAAGATCACTGATTGAGTACTGATAAGAATTTCCAGTTTAATAAACAAGTTCTATAGAATAGACGTAATATGAGCATTTCATCTTATTTGGAACTCCTCTATTGGATATGCATTCACCTCGTAGTTGATGTAGATCCCACTATTAACAACATTCCATCTATTGTATAATAATTCGTTACATAATGTAATTCACACAGAATGCACATATACTAAGACAAATGGAAGTTCAGTAAAAAATATCACTGACGAGATGATCCAAGAACTAATACAAATTGGATTAACAATTAGTTCATTTTCATGTATTCATGGTGGTTAGTAAATAATTGTTATTTCCTTAGAAATGTGAAATTCATACTTCACTTGAAAATATATCTAAGTGAACTTAATTTTCTGACATAAGACTGATTAAAGTAGAGTGGTAAATAGTCCAGTCAATTTTTTTCAAATATCACTTCAAAATAGACATCAAGTACAAATTGCTCGGAAGAAAAATCACAAACATTTCAGTAACTTAACACATTTATTGGATATAAATAAGAACACTTACAGACAAATCCCATTCTGGATAACGCTCAATATCTAGATTAGATAAACGTCTGACAAATTCTTTAATTGGATGAGACATCTAACCAACTGAAATATAAAGAAAAATAAATGGATATTATATTTATTTGAACGATGCTATTACTTCGTTTCTTACAACAAATCGAAATTTTACCTTACTATTTCAACATAAATCTATGTTATTATTTGAAAGATCTTAATGCTACTAGTAATAGTCTATTATCATTTGATCTTCTAATAATTAAATGGTACTTATGAACACTTTTGAAGGTGTTCAATATGTATAATCGTTACAAAGAATTTTATAATGAATACTATTTCAGCTTATTTATTGAGTATGGTTTTAAGTAACGGTATTTGATATGTATGATCGAATGACAACTAAAAGTTACAAGATAACTTAAATCATTATATATTTCAAATATCATCCCTTTTTTGGTATACTGATAGAACTGATATTACAGTTTAATATGATTTATTATATAGTTCAAGTATAATAAAGTCAATCATTATATTACTTATACAATGATACTGAAATCATTTTCCTGTTCAACGATTGTCACTTTCAATTATAAGCAATTAGTCATACAAACAAGAAGAGAAGAGAAGAGGATACTATGAAATGGGAAATAACTATATTTTTATTCAATTACTAGTTCTAAACATAACCCATACTACTTTCATCATTTCAAACAATCATAACAATATCACTATTAACAAACAAGCAAATGAAAAGATCTTTTTTTCATTTATACAATATCATTTATTATTCTTGGCATCAATTTCAACTTCATCTTCATCACTTTTTATAGCTTTCAACATAATTCATGATAAAAATAAATAAAATCAAGGATAGTAAATAAAGAAAAGAATAAAAACAAAAGTTTTATTTGTAAATAAACTGAGAAATTTGTTTAAATTAACAGTTAGAAACTATTCCGTCGAATTTGCGCGAAATTTCAAATGAGAGTATATGTATATAAATAGATAGATAGATAGATAGATAGATATACTTCAACTTGTGTAGATTCGATTTTGAATGAGAACAGAATACATTTAAACGGGTAAATGTTTAATTGAATAAAATAGATTTTCAAACAATGAATAAATATTATTCAGAAAGAAAAAAAATTTTCTTCTTTTTTTCAGTTACAGAAAAAAAAGAAAAAACAGGGAGAAAATTATTAAAAATTTACAAGAAAAGAAGTTAATATATGTCAGAGTAACTGTAAGATTTATATTTTTTATGTTAGATTTAGAAATCACAGTGTTATTCATTTATGAATATTGAATTGTGTATTACTCACATATGGTAAATAAGTAGTGTGATAAACATTTTTTCGTAGTTAACTGTTTATTATGATTGCATTTAATCTAAATAAATCAACTATTTTATTTGTTAATAATGATAGACATTATATATGAAAATTATATTTGAACTGATCTCAGCAATTAAAATTTAAAATAATTCCAATGTTTGGTCGAGCTAACTTGTCTAAACTTCTTCAGGGTAATGATCAAAACCATCAAGCAAATATATATAGTGTTTTAACAATCAAATCTACATTGTGTTAATCCGATCATATTTAGATGTTGATTATTAATAAATAGGATAATATGAGTCAATTAAATGCTAATCGTGTGAAAACTTCACGATATGAAAATAAATGACTGAAATGGATTGATATTTATTCTCACATCCTGAACTTTTCACACGATTTGTATTTAACCGACTCATGTTATCCTATTTATTAATAATCAACATCCAACTATGATCGGATTAACATAGTATAGATTTGATTGTTAAAACACTATATATATTTGCTTGATGGTTTTGATCATTACCCTGAAGAAGTTTAGACAAGTTAGCTCGACCAAACATTGGAATTATTTTAAATTTTAATTGCTGAGATCAGTTCAAATATAATTTTAACATAGAATGTCTTCTCTATATTCGGCGCCCAAATTTTTTCAAACTGTTTGTTCTAATCTTGACGAATATTTGTATAAGTTAATAATGATATACTCAATAAGCATAATCTGTTCGTTGAGTTAATAGTTTACCATCTTGTTCATACGTTGATGCTGACTGATAATTATATTGATTAGTAGGGTCAATAGGATGATGAAATTGTTGTCGGTGATGATGATTGGATTCACCCTTTATCGTTGAATTTTGTTCATAACCTGGATAACTTTTAACTGAAGCATAGTCATCTTGATCAAATGAATGATCAATTGAATCAGTTTTTAAAGGTGGTAATTCTCTATTCTGTGGTCTTTCAACATTATAACAATGACGTAATAAGTACATGACTGGTACATATCCTAAAGTGATTAATGTCATAACAATATTAAGTCCAACAAATTTAATTGTATCCACAAGTCCACCAGCAACAATTGGTCCCAAGGCATAAGCTAAACTATATGAAATATCAGCGATTGCATACACTGAACCATATACTGAAACATGACGTGTATCTACAAGAAAACCCATTGTAGGCAATATTGCTGTATCAACTAATGCAATACCATAACACAAAATACTAATAGGAATCATTAATGCAATAAAATTAGTACAGAATGGTATCAAGAAACAACTTCCTCCTTCAATAGCTAAACCAACTGCAGCCATTAACCATTGTTTACTTGGATATTTATCAGCTAACTTAATTGTTGTTATAACTCCAGCTAAATGTGGTAAAAATGCTGGTAACCATACTAAACCTTCTTGTGCATTTGTTGCTTTCATACTTTTTGACATCCAGTTTGATATTGTCGGTTCTAAAAATGCAAGTGATACATTAGCTACAGTGAGACATCCAGCACATATAGCAATATAAGGATCCATTAATAAACGATGTATTGGAGTTCCTTTAGGTAGATTACCTTGAGTTTTTAAAACTGTTCGTTCAATTCTAACTGGTTGCATAATAATCAATAATAAGCAACCATCAAATAATGCTATAAATGCAAGTGTAATAAATGGTAATTCTTTGCCAAAATATTGATAAACTATTCCACCAAATGGAGGTGCTACTAATGAACCAAATGATATAAATGCTAAAGCTATTCCCAATGCTTTTGTACGTTCATATTCATTTGTATATCGATCAGCTATCATTGCTAAACCGGCAGTATCAGCAAAAGCTGAACCCATACCTTGTAATCCTCTAGCAATAAACATTAATCCATATGAACTACCAAATGCAAATACAGAAGTTGACAAAAATATTATACATAAACCAAACATCATTGGTACATCATAACCAATTCGATCAATTACAGTTCCTGATATAGGATTACATAATAATTGTATTATAGCTTTAAATGCAAATAATGTACCAATTTTAGTTTCAGATTGATGAATAAGCCATTTTATTTTATAATCACCATTAGTTTTATTAAAAATAAAGTTTTCATCTTTTAATCTTTTAGTATGTGTAGCATTAATCCAATAAATTTGTTTTGTATCCATTGCACGTAGATTTTGTAAATAATCCGGAATGATTGGTACTATAACCATGTATAACATATTGTCTAATAATAGAGCTATACAAACAACAAATAAAACCATACGACGTTGTGAATTTGGTTCATTAATTTTAGACATAAATGTTTGTTTGATTGTTTCGAAATTTGTCATGGTAATGCTAAAACAAAATAACAAATAGTTGTGACATTAATTTATTAAAAAGTAATTACATTTTAAAGTGCTTTTTTTTTAAAAAAAACAGTACCTTTCAGATATGTTAATGTGTGAAACCGTGCGTGACCAGCGGAATTCAATCATGTCGGGTGTGATACAGTTACTCTACTAAGATAATTGAAGATGGTTGCACAATATCATGGATTCGCTGAAGTTAAATATTGACACCATTGGACACTGGCGCAGTGGTCTAGAGGTTATGCGTTCGTGCGAGACTGAAGATTCTGGTTTCAAGTCTCGCGTGCAGGTTTGTGGATGTAAATTAGTGAGAAGTTCCATACCAGAATGAAATAACCATCCGGTGCTTTAAGGTTATCGATGGTGATCTAACATTGATCGGTTCACGAATTTAATGAAATTGAGGAATTTTTGAAGACTGGACAGCTATGAGGCCGTTCAGCAGTGTACACCCAGGACGCTACCAGAGATTGAATCCAGAACTGTAGAATCTTACAGAGGGTACGATAGCCTTAGATCACTGAAGTGCCATTGAATGACTCACAGTGCCGACTTGAACGAACTCGTGATATGGTACAACCCTTATCATTTGTTATTGATACTAGAAATCTCAATTACAACATTGTTGAACTGTGCTGGTCAAGATTTTGCACCAGAAGTTCGAAATTTCATCTCAAGGCCGATCACTAGTGATCAAACGATGGAATGCAGGCTATGGAAATCAATCATGTAGTTCGCGTAATATGAAACTATACTAGGCGTGTATCTAAGTGATAATAGTAATAATAAATAACCTAATGTGATCCATTGGTTGATATCAAAAAAGAAGGCTACACTTCAGTATCTAAAAAAACAAGAGTTATCACCTTTTTGTTACAAAGGTGATCTGAGACATTCAAAACTACTTGCTTCTTAAAAAGCGTTAGATACGTTATCTTATCACTTATTTCTATCTACTTTTATTGCTGGCTTCTACTATTATTTTTATTATTATTATATTAAACGACCATTTTGGTGGCATGCTCATGATATTTATTTTGAGGACTTTTCGAGCTATATATATATATATATATTGATTGTTTTCATAACAACTCTGTTCAATATCTGAGCAACCAATATCCTGACTAACTGGTATATGTAATTAAATAATATATTTGTAATATCCCAATGAGTAGAAAAATTAGATTTTCTGATATTTCGTGACTTAGTGTAAGTCACTTCTTCAGAGGTTATTACAAATATATTACAAATGTATTATTTAGTCATAACAATCTACCCAATGCTCAGTTTATTCGAAATTATCAAATCAAACCTTAGTAATAATACCTATAACTAGTGTATGTGCTTGGTTCAAAGATCAGTGGTGTAAAGTTACCATATAAGTGATTAAAGTGAAACACCATTAAGTTTAAATTTTGACAATAATTCTAACCATATCTAACATTAAAGTAGGCAGTCTTTATGTCATCATTTTGGTATCTAAATTAGACTGTACGTGCATCTGCACTTATTAACCCTGTTATTACTACTATTGAAACGATCATTATCAATTTTCAAGACATTCCGGTCAATAAGGTGATACTAGAATGTTCATAGATGAATCATTATCTTGCCGGCGAGATTTCGTATTTAAACATTTATCATACTACACAGTATTTAGTCTTATCAGTTTTATGTATTGCCTGAGGGATTGATCCTTATTCATATTTCTTATATTAATGGAATTAATTTGTAAAACATTTGTGTTTACGTACGCGTATATTACTAAGCAAGCTAATTCCTTCTATATTCAATGAAAATAAAAGCACACCAAAGATTTCAACGGAAAAATAGAAATTATTCATATTTTACCAAATGTTGACACCGTTCGAAAACTATTTTATTCCAGAGAGTTTTATTTTACTGTAGAACCCTTCACTAATGTTCATTGGTAAATAAATCATAAGTGTATTTTCCAAGTTTTATAAAGAAGTCCTAACTATTAGAGCGTAGACATGAACAATAAACGTAGAACAATATTATTTGTGAATTATGATGTTGGATATGTAAACCACTGAATTCCAACAGAACGATACAATGACAGAGTACTTACTTTTAATTCCAAAAATCCTATGTTTTATTCAGTCTCGTACCATGGGTTTGTATTGATGTTGATCTCCATTTTTTAAAACAGCATACATTCAGCGCCCTTTGGTTTTAAAGTGTCAGTGTTAATTTTTCTTAAGCCACATGATTATTTTGCCGTTATTCTAGTTCTATATAAACTATGAAGTTTATTTTTTCTGATTACAGAATACTCCCTTTGTTTTAATATCACGAAATAAAAGTATAATACATAATCACTTTCTATCAGGCTATATTTTTTAATGGTACTTGGTCACGTCAAGGTTATCATGTCATATCTATGTAAATTATTTTCCCCCTCTTGACTGTATATTCTACTTTTGCATCGACAATGAGTTCAAATTAAAGAATGGCGGACCTTTTGGAGATAATTATCTTTAAGTATTCTCCAGGATTTTATATATATAAGACCATCAATAGGGTTGTGGTGTGGTTTACTTATATCCACATAAGTAGTATATAATGGTGGTCAGGCATAGAATATATTTCAGTAGAAGATCGAGATGCAAAGAACGGGAACAGAACGCAATTGATATGAAAAGGCATGAACAATGAAATCTGAGACAGGATACTGATATTTGTAAAGGAACAGTGATGTTTGAGATGATGGATTGATATTTTGCAAATTAACTATTTACTATATGGTTCTCAGATTTTATTGAGATGCTCTGTAATTTTGTGCTCAAATATATTCGACTGTCCCCACTGGTATTTTGTTCACTACAGGGTCAGTGATATAATTATCAGATCTATATTCATTACATTATTAACTGATATCAATATTTAATTATCACATTATTCGATTAACAGAGTTCACCAACTACATCAAGATGATTTCGTGAAACTCAGTCCGATCACATGAAGAATTTAGTTCCCGTTCTTTCCTTCTCGATCTTCTACTGAAATATATTCTATGCCTGCCCACCATTATATACTACTTATGTGGATATAAGTAACCCACACTATAACAATATTCATCCAGGGTTCTTGGTAAATTATTGTCATATTTCTCAAACGGTTGTGTTGATTTCACAAAACCACCGAAAAAAATAACTTCATGATAACAATCTAGGATAACAGGTTTTAGTTCATTTTTGGCTTTAAATGTTGATTACTTATCTGGAAGCCAGAAGTTTCTAGCTTGTAGGTTCTGATTGCTGACAAGTGGAAGACTATAATGAAATAATTTACTATATTCTTGAGTTTTTAATAGTCCTCCTTCTTCCCAGTTCATAACGAATGGGGAAAGAAACCACTTCCAGGTTACATAATATCCTCACCAATCCATATGAATTATTAATTAAATAATTTATTTATGCATATTTTGAAGTTAACAGTTTTATTCTTTGAATTTCAGTTCTTTTTGTTCTAATAAAATTAAATTTGATTCAAAATCCAGTGTACTGGGATTGAAAATTCAGTCGGTATTATTTGTGGTGAAATAGCTTAATGTCTATAAACTTAGCATTAAAACTACATTTATTTTTGTTGAATCACTCGAAATCCATATTTCAACTACCATTTAAGGGACTTTACAAAAGCCATAACACTAAATACTAAATACATTAATGATAAGGTTTGAGAAGGAGTACTAGAAGTTTTGGTTTCAGGGCACTAGACAGTGAATCAGTTACCCGCTAACGGCATTACTTAGGCCACATCCTGAATTACTTAGACATGTACAATGAGAAAGATCAAAATGTGAATCAGTGTTTAAATACCATATTACTTGCCGAAAGACCGGAAGTTCTTGATTCAATCCCACTTAAGCTTGTGAGTGCATAATATTAAGAAGTCTTAAACCGAAACAAAGCACAAAACAACTGTTCACTAGTTTTCAATGGTTTTCCAAATGATATAAATCGGTGTCAAAATTTTCTTTTCCGAAACATAGTATATTTGAAAATATTACTTTGTCAGTTGAATCTATGGAGGAATCGTCTTAGAAAAGAATCTTTAGTTAGAACTTTGTACTCATTACTCATAAAATATCAATCAATTGTATTAATTTTTGTTTGATAAGAGATCAGTATTAATTTCATCATCGAAGTATTGGTATTGCATCACAATATATATGTTCGTATAAATTTAATTGTCCGATTCTGAATCGGCTTAATTGGTTTATGTAAAATCATAGTTACTCTCATTTACATGATAGTTAACTATGGTAGCTGATGAGTGAGTTGAAAATCGATTCTCGTTTTTTCTTGTAAAATGATAAGCCAATATAATTCAATTTCACTGAAATAAATCCTGTGTTAGAGAATATTTTTTTATATTTGAGTTCATGAGTCGATTGAAGCTAAACCACCATGGAAAACCTGAAAGACTTCAAGAGGTTTTTTCTGAAGTTCTAGTGAGAAGCTGTGATCAGTGGAATTCAACCGAGTCTGTTATGAGGTAGTAACTCACTGAAGACAATGGTGGATGGTGATGTGATTTCGTGGATTTGTTGAAGTTAAAAATTAACATCGTTGGATGCCGACTCAGTGGTCTGGAACTCAAGTGTTCACGTGCGAGACTGATAGGTCCTGGGTTCAAATCTCGCAAGGAGGGATCGTTGATACGCACTGCTGAGGAGTCCCATACCACGATGAAACAACCATCCAGTACTTCCAGATTTTGCATAGTAGTCTAGTTTTAATTGATTCATGAATTCAATTATAAAATTACTAAAATATCCAAAAAACTCCCTTCTGAAAATATTTTCTGATAAAAATCACTTTTCACATCCGAAAATCACTTCAAACTTTCTAGATATTTGTAAATAGTTTAACTTTGGTTCATTCAGTTAGATTCAGTTCAAATAACTAATGTTTGTAAGTGTTATACGGTTACACGTTGATCCACATGTT